AACAATAACAGATCAAACAGCTTGATAGATACCAATTTCTTGAAACGCAGTGGAACACGTTTTGTTGGTAATTTTAGTTCTAAGTTAATAACAGAATGATAAAAGTCGAACCGTCAACAAGGATGGATTCTTGGCCATCAACTCCTTGAGTAATTGCAAATTGCCATTTTCGGCAGCCGTGAGAGCCTGTTCTTTCGGATCAGTCATATCCTTCTCGGCAATACCTTCATCATCATCATCCCAGCGAGTCGGAAGATTCCTGGCCGTTTTATGATCACGAATCCTTTCCATAAGCGCCGACTGCTCCGCAAACTAAAGATTTTGCTATCTTACGACAATATCGAATTTATCCACAGAATAACTCCATTTTTTCAAAGTCAGCACTTTTATACATTCTTGCATCTATGCAGTGCAAAAACGCATATTGTCGAGGGGTTGTCTATGTGTACGTCTGTACCGAGTTTTCATCTTGAAACCTGTAAAAGCTACAAGGCTGAAACTTTGGCAACTTAATCTACACCTAAGTACAGGGCCCTATTCTTTTACACACGAGAAGGTGAAAAGTTTTTTTGGCGGGAAAGCGACTTCGATAAAAGCGTAAGCAGAAGGCCGAGACTTCACGAAGGTATTCCTTGCCTACGTCCAATCCAAAGATTTTAAACCCAGCATTCACGCACCCCGAAGCTTCACGAACACACGTCAAAACTTAAATCAACACCATTCCAACTCAAGGATTAAGCTGTTCAAGAAATTGCAGAGAGCTGTAATTTTGCAACGTTACTTGTCGCCCACTGTTGTGATCATGAAAGCAAACTGAGCTTTCTAGCCCCTCTGCATCTCGTGTACGGATGCGTGAAATTTGATGCAGATAGTTTTGCAACTTCGGAACTGAAGCAGATTAAGAGCTGAAACTTTCTAAGCGTGGCCGATCGCAGCGCTTGGTCAGGTGGACGGGAGTACCTTCACGTCATGTCTCACGCACGTACGACGTATAAACACCAAAAATTTGACGTAACTCCGCAACTGAAGCAGAAAGTGCGCTTAAATTTTCTGGGCACTTCTCAAGAAGATGCCAATTTAAACTCCAAACTGGATTTACACCACACGCGAATATATCCCCGCAAATTTTCAGCTTCGCAGCTTGTCCGACAAGCGAAATTATTACTTGGCTATGAATTGTTTGAAGTGTATCAAGTTGTGAAGCAAGTGCAAATCGAAAACCCGCTTTAGGTTTACGATTTCCCAGACTAACAACAAATATCCTGACAAAATTTCAGCCGTTGTTTTCTGGCTAGATTTCTGCTTGGCACGATGCCAAGTGTGAATTTTGACTTGGCTGTACGCATGAGGTAGATGTGTGCGACAGCTAATTTTGAAAACCATAGCTCATTCGCTACAGGAAATGTCCCTACAACGTTTTAGTTTTCTATTTTGTCTGCTTTCCAAAATCGTTTCCCGCCAAGAAAT